ATTTTATCGATTTATGTCAAATTTTAAACCAGCCCAAGTTGGAAGATTGTTCATTTATCTAACATTAATTTATAGAGTTTCTATTGTATGTGTTTTCAGGGTTAGATTGTGGAATCTTAATTTTTTTTTTTAAAGTCTAAATTTAACTTATAAGTGTTTAGTTTTGTGTAAATAAAACACTTTATAATTTGATTTTATGTTTAATAAAGTTTTTTGTGATATAGTTATATATTTGATTTCGGGGTTTGAAAGACTTAAATTCGTAAGATATAATGCACAAAAGACTTACCAGAAGACTTAACAACATAGTTTACCATTTCTCGCTTAAAATTTTTAAAAATAATGTATGTTTCCTGCCTATTGGTAAGTTTTCCAATAAATCTTCCATAAGTTTTCAAGGAGAAATCGTAAGTCTTCCAAGGGAAGTCTTAAGTTTTTCAGGGGAAGTTTTAAGTCATTTAAAGGAAATCTTCTAGTGTATTAGATTTTTAAAATAATTTTATAACTTGGTAAAACATATTTTGATAGGGGGAAATCTGAATCATTTAATTATGGACATTAGTTTTTCCGCATATTGTTAAGTCTTCCAATAAATTTTCAATAAGTTTTCACGGGAAGTCTTCTCATGTATTAGATTTTTTTAAAAAATTATAAATTTCATAAAAAAATATTGTGATAGGAAAACAATCATAATCATCTAACTATATAAATTTGTAAGTGGTATAAATTTAGATTTAATAAAATTGAATTGTTTATATCATAGATGAGTGAATGTATATATATTTTTTGGTTGAAGGTTTGGTAACATATGTTATAGTAATTTTTTTTTTTTGTATTCTTTAGGTTTAGATTTTGGAATTTTAACATTTCTTAAAAATATTTAAATTTTGACATATATGTGTTTAGTTTTATGTATAGTAAACACTTTAAAAGATATTTTTAGGTTTAGTGAAATTTTCTTTTGAGATTTAGTTAGTTACTTGATTATAAGGTTTAGATGACTTATTAGAAAGTTTTTTAACAAATAATGTATTAGGAAACTTCAATGTAAGTCTTCTGGACGTACATTTAGGGTCTATAAGACTTTCATTTCAGTCTTATAATAGAATACTTACGTTAAAGTCTTCTGTGTCGAAAATATTTAACCTAATTGAAATTTTTTTCCTATATAAAGAAAATTTACACATTTTGTTTATTTCTCTCAAATGGAGGCAAACAATGTAAAAATTTTCAGTCTAAAAATCTTCAACCTCTCTCTAAACTATTTGAATTTGATAACACCAAAATTATATCAATTTCTCATTTTTATATGTTTCTCACTAATTTATCATTTATTTAAAAAATCTCGTGTGTTCATAAAAAAATAAAATGTCAAAGAATAACAACCAAAATGATCAACTACTCTTTTTACAGTTCTTCTTATTTTCTTTGTTTTTTTAAAGAAATTTCATGTTATCATTTAAATTCACAACTTCTTAAATCAGGAAAAAGTAAATCAAATCCATATAATATTTGAATAAAAAAGTAAATTATTAAGAAATACCTCCACTCAGATCAATTACTCAAATGATATAAGGAAAAAAAAAGTAAAAGAAAAAGACTATTCCAAAAAACAAAAAAAAAGTTAAAACATTTGTATGGAGTGAATAATTTTTTTTTATTGTTTAAGTGTTTTTCAAAAATTAGGATTTCTTTAGTGTAAAAGTATACGGTGTTTATTATTCACAAAAAACTAATTAATATAGCAAATTATTTATTATCATTCTATAATGTATATATATATATAATGTATAAATATGTGCTTTTACTTTGATCGGTTTTTTTGGTTTATTCGGTCTAATCGGTTATAAACCTAACCATATCTGAATCCTACCGTTTTTATAAATTTATAGTCATACGGTTTATATGGTATATATCAAATCCAAACCATATTGTCTATTTCAGTTTGGTTCGGCTCGGTTTATATTATATTGTTTACTTTTCAAATATTAATAAGGAAACAAATATCAAGAAAATATAGAAATATGTTTAGGGATTTTTGTTCTTAAATATCCAAAATACTCTTAATGAATGACACAATTTTTTTCTTTGCAAATTTCAGATAAATGTGTCAAATATTGTAAGTTCATATTTTTATTATTATTAAACTTTTATTCAAAGTTTTGGGAAAGCATTTGGAGTTCAGCGTTGTAGAATTGTTCATGTGTTTTAAAAACTTGGATGCAGCGTACCGTAATTTTTTCTATTCAGCACAATAAATCGGTAAATATTTAAACAATCAATTTAACATAACTAAACACTATTACACAGTCTCAGATTAATTACCGAATAATAATAAAAAAAAATGTTGAAACCCAATAAAAAGATAGGCTTTGGGTTTACTACTGTTCATTTGATTTTACTCAAGAAAAAGAGCATGTTTTATTTAGGGGTAATTTGCACAATATTCATAGTAAACACGAAAATGAAGTGTATACACATTGCAATTTGATTTGACAATTTGCAAAGACTTTGGACTCTTTTGTTCTTTCACGCGCATGTACGTCGGTTTGAGGCAAGTGAGCAGAAATATTGTAACACACATCTAACACTATCCAAACCTGTAGGCACATATATCACGTACTGTAACAGGAAGATAAAATGAAAGCCAAAAACTATACTACAAATGAGTTCGTTTAGTATAGGAAGAGAGACCAAATAATGATTATATAGAAGGAGCAACAGGGGATTCGAAGACAGTTTACGGGGGAGTAAAACAGAAGTTGGATACTATAGTCTTTATAGTCCATTAAAAATGTGGCATATTAATATATGGTTAGTTGGTAAAATCACACATATGGTGTAAAGAACTTGTTAAGGCACACAAGTAATTTTTGCAATATAATGTTGTTGTTGGTTGAAATAGACTATACAAAAGGGGGAGGTAATGAACAAGACAGTTGTATACAATCACAAGTGCCATTTTTGATGCAGAACATACTAAACTATACAACTTTGTAGATAGTATAACGCTTCGAGTTTACACACCTCAACTAGATAAACAACCAACAATGAGTCCCACACGTTCTCCACAGCTAGTACCACCATAAAACTAAATGCTTGACTTCTTTTTAGATGCAACATATACACATATTGGGAACTGTAGATTACATAAACCATAAACCCTTAGCCTAAACCATAATCCTGCTGCCCTAAACAACAAGTCGAAGAACCTATACTATTGTCAATAAAATATAGTATGCTTATCTGCGAAAAAAATGCAATGGCCGCTAAGGTCCATATTGTTCTAATTTCATGTGTTGCAAAACAAGGGCTCCCAAATGGAGGCTACACCCTAAACCCTATGTCCTTAACCCTTAAAACTAAACCCTAAACCCTACCTCCGAAGCCATTATGGTAGACCCTAGATCTATAATGTCTATGTGTATCAACAATTCATAACCAAAATTGGGGAGGGGGGGGGGGAGGGGCAAAGGTCATCTAAACCCTTACTGTCCAATTCAACGTATAGATTTATGGTTTAGGATTTAATATGAAATGTTCATAACACCAATTCGAAGAAACTATACTATTGTAAATATAATATAGTATTCTTATTTGAGAAACAAATGAAAATGGAGACTATACACTATGTCCTAAACCCTAATCATAGACCATAAACCCCAAACCCTAAACCATAAACACTAAGCCCTACACACTTAACCATAAACCGGATGCCCTAAACCGTTAACACTAAACCATTCACCCTAAACCCTTAGCCTTAAACCTAAATGTTCAAAACACCAATTCTAAGAAACTATACTATTGTATATATAATATAGTATGATTAACTGATAACAATTGCAATGTCCGCTAAGATCCAAATGGTTCTAATTGTATGTGTTGCAGAAGAAGAGAATATAAGGTTAGTTGGGGAATTCAAACAAATAGTGTAAAGAACTTGTTAACATACACAAGTACATATACAAGGTTTATGAACGAAAATCAGTAGTTTACATGGTAGCAAACCTGATACTATACATTATTTACAATAGTATAGGACATATATGTTGGATATGAATTACTCGTTCCACTTCCGCACGTAACATGCATTCTCAAAAGCTTCTCTCGAGGTCGTGTTTTCCTTAAATTTTAAAAGGAAAAGAGAAGGTGAGTTCTTATGGTTACGGAACGGAAGAGAGAAGAAACGGTTTCAGCTTCCACGCGTAGGTGAAGGGTAAGATGGTGAATAAAGGGGAAAAAAACAACCATAACCTAACCATGGCTTTAATATGGTTAGATATTGTTTTTGTTGGATTGCTATGAATATTATGCCTAATTTCCCTTTTATTTATAGTAATAATTTTTGTTGATGTGTTTCACAAAATTTCGACGTGGGATACTTACATTTCATATATATAAAGTTCTCAATATATTTGATGTTTATAGAGATTTCCTACATAAATTATTTCCTAAAATCTCGAGGATATATAATATTATAAATCTTGTTAGGTCAATAAATAAATTGTAATCATGATTTATATTATATTATTTATTTTTATAAATTATTAATATGGATACAAATAGCAAGAAATTAGAGAAATGTGCTTTCGTCCACAGTCACGTCCGTGTCATCCGTTCGATTGGGGTACAGTTTATTTTGTTTTGGGCCTGAATTTTCTTACCTCCGCCTGTTACCTGAAGATAAGGGATGTCTGAAACGGAACCCTAATTTCTTCGCTCTCCTAATTTTAGTTATCTTCTCTTCAATCCGTTTCAGCTAATTACTTCACCATTGTCTCCCTAATCAATCATTTCTCCATGTCATTCAATGGATTCTTTTTCAACTTTCTTCACATTTCTCACCCCAAAAAGGCATTTTGTCTCTCTGTCTTCAGCTGTAGTAACATGAAAGGTCGTGATCTGATCAACAATTGCTTATCGGAGGAACTCATTCTCGAGATATTCCGGCACCTTGATTCGAAACACAGCCCCGACGCTTGCTCCCTCGTCTGCAAACGATGGCTTCATCTCGAGCGTTTAAGCCGCACCACTCTCCGTATCCGCCTCTTTCTCTCCTGACACCACCGTTACTTTCCTTTCCTTTCTCGCTGCTTCCTCCACTACCGTCCACGTCGACGAGCGTCTCTCTGTCTCCTCCCCCTCCTCCTCTCGTATGTCTATTTCATTTCCTTTCCTTGAATCTGGGAATTTCTTGTGCGTGCCGATTTTCTGTGTGGTTCTGGGTTTGAAATCGGGTTTGCATTTAGTTGAAAGTGTGGGTTATCATTCGAAACTGTGTAGATTATTGATCTATATGTGGAAGGTGCAGCGCTCTTACACATGTTTTCTTTAGTCGCGTCTTTTTTTTTCTTTGTCCCTTCATATATGAAGACTAGTAAGCGCAGAAGTTAAGAAATTTCATCTCCTTCGTCGAGTAAACATCAGAAGTTGACTAATAAGCAACATTCTGAAGCTGAGTCTTGCAGCTTGACTGATACGGGTTTGATAGCTCTTGCAATTGGGTTTCCACAGATAGAGAACTTGAGTTTGATATGGTGCTCTAAGATTTCCGAAATCGGTTTGCGTTCCCTTGCTCAGCAATGCACTTCTCTCTAATCGCTGAATCTAGAGGTTAGTTTCATTCTTTTGTTTTAGGCAGAGGTTGAATACACTTGGCCTTAATGATCTCATATGCTTATGATGTGGTTTTTAGGCTTGCTCTGTTGGAGATCAAGGCTTATCAGCTGTTGGAAAGTTCTGTAAGCAGCTCGAAGAAAGGTTTTGTGTATTAACTGATGTTGGAGTTATTGATCTCTTCCCAGTTCCGAGATAATGAGGAACGTGGGCTTGGTATCAGAGAGCTCATTATTACCGGCTTGCTGAATTATTATCCCGTTATGTCGCATCTGCTCATGTATTAAAGGGGTCAGTTTATCATTTTCAGGAGATCCTTCCATGGCTACTCATTTGTTACTGATTATTCTTAACCACATTTACAGGTAAAATCTGCTTTTGAGGCCAAATTCTTCTCTTAACTCATAATCTCAGTTTATGTGTAGTTATAAACATTTAAACATAACTCCCATGTTTGTTTGGCAGTGGTATTGTTGTGTCGATGGTGGTGGAATGTGCAGAGAATAGTGTAAATGTAATAAACTCACAAATGTATATTCAATTCGCCAGCAGAGTCCCCCAAGTAGTAGTCACTTTTGTATATGGCGTTGAACCTTTACCAATATGTATGTAGGTTTATTCGACGTCAGCGGCATTGCTTCTCACTGTAGTTGTCTTTGTATACTTATTTAATTTTCATATGCCTTCTTCCTGAGCTCAAGTTAGTTAACCGCATTTGACTTTGTCAATACAATCCATCTAGCCTTTTCACATAAAGTAGCCTAATATACGAGCTGATGTTTACTGTGTTCGCTTTGCAGGAGATTTGAATGGTCTATTGGAATCTTTAAGATGAATGTAGATATTATTATGTAAACATTTCTTGTTCACCTATTGATATGTAAACCAAAACAGAGGAGTTTGCGTGTGAGACAGTGAGAGTAAATCTCTACTTTTATTCAGAGCTTATTGCCTTATTGGCCAAAACATATTCTTTGGACTATCATCGAAGGTCTGCACACTACCAGTCAATTTTGATGGTTTTGAACGCCAGTTTTGGGTTTAAATGAATTCACGGCTTATAAAAGGTCTGTTCCAAATATCTTGAATATGAATCAGCTTGATCACTCTCATAATTTTAGGATTTGTCAATTATTTTTGAAGTAAATAAATCAACGATATTTTTATGCATCACAATCCAAGCGTGTGATTTTGGGCAGGATCACTCATTGTTGAATATACCGACGCATTCGTTATATAATAATATATTTTCACATGTTGAAAGTGGGCGAAAAAACAATTTGAAATCATGAACAGCAAGACATTTTCTCTGGTTCGTTTAGGAGTCATGACTAAACATTGTTTTCACTTATTGTGATTAATTCTTATACATAAATAGACAAGGCCATTTTCTGTTCAAAAATGTTTTTTGAGTAGTCCTATTTCTAAATTTCAGTATATTTGGTTCTTGATTTTTATTTTGTTTCATAATAAGTGACAATTTATTAATGTTGTTGAGATTTGTGACTAATTTAGAAAATATCACATTTTTCTTATTGTTTATTTAATGATGTTTATATACAACCTAAATAATTTTAATAAATTTTGTATTTTCTTAATCTATGTGTATTAACATTAAAAACCAAGAAAAATGAAACAGAGTACTTTCCAAGTGACCTGGAGAGTCGTTGTGTGGCCAGTTAAATTATGTAGGTTTCTTTTTAATTAGTTGAATTTATATATTAAATGACCGATTTTTAAAGTAATAACTTTTTTGAAATTAGTGATTTTAGATAAAACTAAATTATGAAACAAATTGAGTAATTTGTATACTAACTTTACACAGATTGAGGACAATATTTTAAAAGTAGCCTCACCTTAAATTTCTCTCATTCTGTGCAGTCCTAATTGAAAGGAAATAAGTTAGGCCAATTAAAGGTGACTAGACCTTGACCCGTGCGACCGCACGGGTATTAATCTTATTTTTCTAATTTTTATATTAAATGATATTTTTGTAAAAATTAATTGTATTACATTAAGTTTTTTTTTTGTGTTTAGAATTTATTGTATTAAAACTATTGGGTATCATACAAACAAATCTAACATGTAGACGATATATTGAAAATACTTTTCAGATAAAGATACATCAAATCTTGAGAAGTAATAGTTAATATGGTATACAAAAAAATGATAAATTAGTTATAACATTTCTAAGAAAAAGCCTGATGTTCAAATTATATAAAATTTTTAATATATAAAACATTTGGCTTGAAATTTGTAAAATAAAAAATGAAGTATCAATTAAATGGTTACAAATTACGTATGGGTTTACTTTTGACAGAAAAATACCGAAAAGTTTATTGTTTGATCCGCGCAAGTGTTTGTTTTTATATATTTTATAAGTGATAATATATATTTCTAAATTTATCTGTTTAAATAATAAAACGACATTTTAACACACACATTTTTTTTTTAGTTTATATTGAGTAATTTTATTTTATCTTATAAACTATCATTGTGTCATGCTTATTTTTAAAATATGACCCGTATATCTGCACAAATGTTTTTATTTTATTTTTATGGATCAAAATTTTATGATAATGTATAACTAAATTGTTGTATCTACTATTAAAAATATGTGGTCCTATATATTTATAATTTTTTAACTTTTATTATTCTGAATTTACCTTGAACTATTATTTATATAAAATTATACATAACATAATATATTTATATTAATCTATGTATTATATATTTTATAAATGTTTCTTTTTGTGACTTTTATTTTAGTTATTTCTTATAAATAATAAAAATATAATTATATATCTTTGAAAACAATATTGTTCATTAACTATTTAAAGATATGTAGATAATTAATAAGAAAAAAAATCCTAAATGGTAGGTTAATTAATATTGGAATTAATTATTATGTATATTGAATTAGTAAAACAATTTCTATATATTTTATTTATTTAATTACGAAAGGTATATATGAAAATAATTATTTTCATTAATTATTGTTGCCATATTTTTTTTTAGTTAAAATTTGATTTTGGAAATGCATTAATTAAAGTGAAAAGACAAAGAATCCTATAATGTAGGGTAATTAATAACTTCAGTGGCATGACATTGTAAATAATTAGAAAAATTCAGGGGTATTTTATAAGTGTACTTCTATTTTAATAATATAGATGTAAGGAAAACATAAAGATGTTTTCGCAACTATTAAAAAAATAGAATCATTTGACAACATCTAAATCATATCCAACTCAAAAGCAACATAGAAGACTTTCCATACTTTCTAATATTATTTACTTCAGTTTTACTTTATTTTTATCCATTATTCTATTTTTTACTCCAAAAATAAAGTATAATTGAAGTAAATTAATATCATTTTCAAGTTACTCTGTTTTGAAAGACAAAAATGTATTTTACATTGAAAATGCTCTTCGTACAAGAAAGCAATAGAAATGACATCCAAACAATAAATAAATATTAAATAATTAAAGTAAAGGGCTTTTTGCATAATTGACCTGAAACTTGAAGTCAACCACAAAACTAACCTCCTTTTTTTTGGAACTTTATTTTGTCCAATTCACCCCACAAGTTCATATAATTCACGAAAATGCCATCAATTTGTTTTTTTTTATTTTTTTTTCGAAAATGACATATTTACTCTCTCATCCTCATCATCTTCAAGTAATTACAAGATTGCCATTGTCATCAATACTCCAACAACCATGAACAACCAATTTTTGAAGCTCTTAATGCCTCCAAATTCCATTTACTCTTCTTCTTTCTCTATTCTCATGAACTAAACAACACATTACAACACATATCTCTCACTTTCTCTCCACAATGAGCTAAAAAAAAACCCAAGATT